CCCCAAAACCCCAAAACCCCAAAACCCCAAAACCCCTTTGTGGGCTAGAAATATTGAAAACAAGATTTTACATATAACCTCGGTTACCTCCCATATCAAAGTTCATTCCACTTCGCTGGAATGACAAAGTCGATTGGTGATGAGGAGGCATCCTACTCCGATGTGGAGTCTGTGATTGCTTCAACCTCCTATGGTCTGTATTATTCTTACTCCTGAGAAAGCTAGGTGAATCTTTGAAGTTTGATTGAGGAAATTTTGACTTTATCTTCGGAATTGTTCTAGACTCAGCTCTGCTTTTATTTAAAGTGTCCATGATTTTTCCCGTTAGACTAGTTGATAGAGCTGGATTTACTCTATTACCTTCAGTGTTATAATTAAGCGATTTTGGTGGCTTATCACCTCCATTTCCAAGGTAAGAATTGAGAGGGCGCACTTTCTCAGTTATGCTTAAGTCGTGCACCTTAAAACTTTTGGTTTGGTTCAAATTTTCTATTGCGCTGTTAATAAAGTTCTCGATATCTGATATCTTTTTCAGCACGTTAATATTAGGATTCTCATCTACATAGTTAACAATCTGAGCGTAATCAGTCTCAATCTTGCCAATGGTGTCTTCAGAATTTTTTCAAATTTCAACTCGATCAGTGAATCTATTTAATTTCTTTGGTAAATTTTGCCTCTACAGCTTCCAGTACTTTATTAAACTCCTGTTCGATTATCTTAACTTGCTTCTTTTTGATTTTCATGACAGTCTCCAATCACTAAAATGATATAAGTTAAGGGCTTACCTTCTCTAGATAATTCTTGCTCATCTGAATTCTTCGATGAACGTTATCAATTTCTGCTGCTAAAGCAGCTATATTATCTGTAACATTGTTATAAATCTGCCCAATTTGGGACAGCTCATGGCCGTTATGCTCATGAAACATTCATTTCGATCATACGAGTTCATATCAATTACAGCAAAAATATACAAGTGTCCTGTCAGGATGCTTGTTTCAGTAATAAGGTCCAGTCTGGTTTATCTCAGGGTCTCCTTCATTCTCATTTAACTCCTCCCTCAAGGCTCTGGAGACCTGGCTGATATACTGTGAATTCTGAGTAGCTTTCTTCGCCATCACAGAATAATCATCATCCACCATTTCAGAGTCAACATCATGGTTAGTAGTAAGCCTCTGTAGAGCTTTCATCGTAGACTGGTTCTTTATAACAGATGCTTTCGAGGAAAGTGGCTGACCAAAAGTCTCTGACTCGTCAGGATACTCCCGAGCATATGAATTACTGTTAAGCTTGAGTCTTGGGACTTTTTCTATCTTATTATACCCTCTGGTGACTCCATCAGGCCCAATGCCTTGTGTTGCAAACTTAAATATTTTCTTGTTCATATTTATTTCAATATAAAACAAGTATCAAGGGGTTTTGGGGTTTTGGGGTTTTGGGGTTTTGGGG